GCTATGGAGTGCCAACTCTTTGTGGACATGACAATTGAGTCAGGTGTGTGTTTATTAGAATCTCCTTGAAAGGCTAGTAGATATCGGTAGTGGTTTACGCCGAGATGGGCCGTCGCGACGACGTTCATCACTGTTGATATCCCCAGCATTGTCTGGAGAAGTAAAGTTTCCATCAGGACGCATCCTGACAAGGGGTATACAGGCAGGCCCCGCTCACGTTTACATGTCCCCTTTTGGAACCTTCACTCCGAGCAACTCCCAAGCTGACAGGTGAGAGGGTGATGTATAACGTGAGCGCGTAGGTTGATATCAAGATTCCTGCGTGTTAGAGCGTTGTTCACCATGAGTGAAATTTGTCGTACAAACTAAGCAGTACTGACCGTAAATGAGGGTCTGAACGATCGTCAACATAGTAGTTTACACCCAAGTTCGAAGAGGTAATCAAAGGCTTACCTCGACCCAGGCAGCCAACAGAACGATGTTAGTGAACTCGGACATTGGCCGCCTCTTCAACAAGTTTGGAGTAGCAAGGGGGAGGGAGTGAAAGGCTCCGAGAAGGGGTACATGCTTTTTAACGAGATCCTCTTGATGATTGATAGACGCCCGGAAGCGAAAACTCAGCTTGACTTCCCCGTCCGTCCCAATTTGGGGTCGAATGTTCATTGCCGAGATGAGATACGATCCGAAGCTATGCGTGATCTAAGCCGATCACTAGTAACCTACTCGATGCTCGATAGCCACTTTCATGTCCTTGCTGCCTCACGCTTGACTCACTCTCACATTTTTTGAGGACCTCTATCTCGATCTTTGCTTTACCATTTTGGCAGAGCACAAGGAACGATCGTCATGGCGACCACCGTCAGCCAATAGATACATTAGCGGTATATGCCTCCCTTAAATGAAACTCCACACGACCGTAACTTCATTCCCCGCTCCAGACTATAGTGCGTGAACATCCCTGTCCGCCCCTTCTAATTCTAGATTAGTGGACTCCATGGACACCAAGGAGCCCAGTATGAGATGGCGTACCCATAGAGCGTTCTTACTGATCTCCCTAGACCGGAAGGCCAGCATTTACACGTCCAGAGGCATGTTCGGTGCGAATTCTTGTTTCCGTATCAAAGCACTATGATCATATGGAGGATTAGCATTCGTCGGTGAACTCGAAGGGTGGGAGGGATATGTTTCTTTTATAAATGGTGGCGGCGATGGTGAGTCATTCACATTTTTCACTCCTTGCCTATTGTCGCTTCGTTTTTAGCGGATTGCCCGTCCTTATAAAATTGTGCACTAGCTTACCACTAGGGAACATTTTCGACAATTCTTGAATTCATTCAGGCTTTCCACCCCCTTCATTCTATTAAATTCAGGGTCATTCTGGACAAAAAGGGTCTCCTGGAGGCTAGCCCCAGCCCTATGGCATTTCTGTTGGACACGAGGATGAAACTCTATCCCTTCTGCCATCATCGTGCCTCCTTGACCGAACTTCGACTTTCGTAGACTTGATGATTCATTTCCTTCCAGAGAGGTGAGTAATAATCGCTCATTCGTAGCAATGAGTTCCTCCGAGCCCATAGTATGATTTTCTGTGACAGCTCGTCTACGTCTAGTGGTTCTCGAAATCTTGATCTCGTAAGTTCAGCCGAGGTCGAAGCGGCAAGCATCGACACGCCGTCTTTGGAATTCTCGCGTCTTGCAATCTCGGTGGTCGTACTCGTGGACCTGATTACTATTACAGGAGCCATCAATCCCATTCAACTTCCGACTGCGGAGAAGGTACAGTATGCTCGTTTTTGATGGAGATTCGGCTTTACTCCGATACTATTTGAATGAAACAACTACGGATATCCGCAGTTGACACTTTCCCTGGGCGCTATGCTTCGATATTCAGTTTGCTGAATGAATGTGCCAATGATACACACAACATAGAACCGAGATACCCGAGCTGGAGAAACAGGACGAATAAAAACCAGCATGGAATCGAAACTCGGACACACAGGTATGGTCATGCCCAAGAAACTCTTCCCGCACGTTCCTCTGGCGCTCGTCTGCGCATCGCTTGGGAATGCACTTCCTTCGGTCGGAGAATTGGACCTAACCAGAAGGGCTTCAACTCATCATATCAGGAATCTCAATGACGGTCTTCAAGTCATATCGTACCATCCAACAACCACATACCAAGTTCGTCCGATCATACGTTACCCTCGCTCCTTCGTGAATTTGAATCGTTTTAGACCTTTGGCGAAGGGATCGAGCCATCATCAGCTTCGCTGAAAACTCGCGACTCCAACATAGAAGACCAAGTAATCTCATTCGTCGCCTCGGCATTGGGCATCGATCCCATTCACGTGGGGTTCAGGTCCGGTTACACTACCGAGGATGGCACTACGCACGGATACGCTAGGCAGTTTCATGTAAGCGTTGCTTTCAACTTTGCCCTACTTCCGGTACGTGGTAAACTCACTATTCAACATAGAACGGTATTCCATTCAGCAATGCTGTTGCCAACGTTGCTTTCAAGAACAATAAAGTCATTGCATTCGGCCATTCGTTTGTGAACATCAGTGAGTCCCAATTAAGTTTGGAGTTACACTCTGCGTGATCGGTTCACGTAGATAAGATTGCTAATTCGAATCCCACTCTCGACGTGAACTCTGCGACTGCGAAAGCCGAAGAAGTCCTTCAAGGCAAGAAAAACATCATTGAGCCCGCTCTCGAGTATCTACTCCTTGAAGACGGCTTGGCAGCTCTCGTACATGTCATTGAAATCCAGAATTGGCGAGAACGGGAAACCAAGACTTGGTATAAGGCCTATGTAGATGCTCATTCCGGCAAACTGGTTTCCATCAATGATTTCGTTTCGCATGCTTCCGTGAGTACCTTTTCCCGTTATCGAGTTTTCAATGTCGTTGACACGGGTGTCCTTCTCTCAGTATAAGGTTCTTCCAATTTGGAAGCAGACTCCCGATGAAGGATACGAAGTTATCGTTGACCCACAACTGCTTACAGCCGCTTCACCCGCTGGATGGCACCTACCTGAGGGTAACTCTACCGAGTAAGCATGCTCCTCGTGGTAGATGAGTCGGAACTCACCTATCAATCACCTCCCGCTTCCTAGGGGCAACAATGTCGCCGTCTACATAGGCCACCAATTCCAAGACCCCCTCAACACCACACTCCAGTCCAGTCCCGGACTTGTATTCAATTACACCTACGACGCCTCCCAAGACCCCGCCGTCACATCAAACCAAGACGCCGCTCGTACCAACGTGTTTTACCTCGCCAACACGTTTCACGATACGCTATACTTGTATGGGTTCACAGAGAACGCGTTTAACTTTCAGAACGATAATTTCGGAAAAGGTGGAGTCGGAGGGGATAGATTCTTGGTGAGTGTGCAGAGTACGTTGGGGATGAATAATGGTTTTACTGCGACTCCTCCTGAGTATGTCTCCCTTTTCTCTTTCTCTTGTACCACGATTCGAGCTAAAATCTGGAATGCTCAAAGTGGTCGATCTGGGCGTACTGAATTGACGTTGTGGGATTTAACAAACGTGAGTGAGCGAGCGAGCATGTTTCTCTCTGCAACCTTTACTTACATCCTAACATCAATTTCCCCAGCCTCAACGCGACGGTGCCATGGAAAACGACCTCGTCATTCACGAATCAACTCACGGCATGACCTCACGGATGACTGGAGGGGGTACCGCTCAATGCCTCGACACTCGAGAAGCCGGTGGGCTAGACGAAGGTTGGGCTGATGCCGTAGCCAAGTACGTTTCCCATCACAGGCTCTCGGAGTTGACGCCTCAACATTTGATAGCTGGTTCTCACACTCTGCAACTCCGGAAGTTCACGACTTCTATTTTGTTCCGTGGGTTACGAATGGGAATTCTACGTATTTCCGGACGGGTCCCTATTGGACTTCGGTGGCTACGAATTCGTTGAGGTATTCGGACCTCTCGACTCGGGAGACTTTACATGGTGAGTTTATTCGATTTCAAGTCTTCATCGCTTCTCTGTTGTTGATTTGACCTCTGGTAGAAATGGGAGAGGTAAAATAGACTCCGTGGTCATCTCTGCAAATACTGGACTCACACACTTTCTCTTTATTCTCTCGATTGTCGTCAGATATGGTGAGCATATTTCTCTATCTACTCACCTTACCCAAGTTCACCCCTCTTAAACAGGGCGAACATCCTTCACAACGTCTACTCAGCGCTTGTTACCAAGCACGGTTGGTCCTCGGCCGCTCTCACCGACTCTACTGGTTCATCTGGAAACGTCGTATGGCTCCACCTCATCGTAGACGGACTGGCACTCCAACCGTGCAACCCCACATTTACGACTGCTCGAGACGCCATTATCCAAGCTGATACGAATCGGTACGGAGGGGTCAATAGGTGTCTCCTGTGGAAGGTTTTCGCGAGTAGAGGTCTCGGTGTCGAAGCTAAGGATTATGTTGATTCGGATACAGTTCCAGAGGGCTGTTAGGGGTGAACGTGGGTACAATTCTATCACGAAGACTATCCTTCCTCCACTCTCCCTTCTTAAGTCGTAATACATCCACCCTTTGATGAGTTACACCCTGGGTCTGCATCTGGGTATGCGTATGGTTCTCGCTTCAACTGGCTACGAGTCGACAGTGGAAAAGCGGCTACGATGATCAGCTCATGAGTGTGTCCGAATCTCAAATTACGAGGAGAAATAGGGGAAACTCACTGTAGCCGTTCGTGATGAGAAGAGTGAGAATAATGGTGACCTGTTTGAAGATCATTGTTGGAGAGGTGGGTATGTGTTGCGAAGTACGGCCACGGTCTTATACTTATACTGTCAGGCTGTGTGGAAAATGATGGCTGCGGCGTTGTTATCACCGTACGTTGAATGATCGAGAATCCAAAGGAGAAGAACTGTTCGATCTTCGATCTACCTCAACGCAAGAGAGCTAAAAACTACAGTTAGAGACGGTTCAGAAAAAAATTCCGAACAAAAAGCATGACTGATTCGACCCAGGCTCGAACTGAGGACCTTCTGTGCTTCCTATATGCAACCATCCGCATGTAAGACAGATGCGATAACCAACTACGCCATCGAACCAGATGGACGTTGCGGTTCTCTCCATAATACATCAAAATCGGACAGGGCGGGACTTTTCTTGATCCTAGCTGGATGATAGGGTTTTTTGAAATACTGACATCGAAGTCGTATTGTACCCTTCGGCAAGATCACAGCTCGTATACTGTTTAAAAATGAATCATTATCCACCTGAGCTGCGATCTTTCAGAACGTCCAACTCAGATCCCAGAGAACAAGAACCACGCCTCCGATGGAATCAGGGTTCGGTTCAACTATAATCATCTGTCAGGGTTATGTCATCCGCCGAAGTTCGTGACAAGAACGTGGACGTATCGACCTGAACTGTCAATAAGTATCCAAGATGGCATTGAGAACAATTCAAGAACGGGAAACAGTAATGTGGATGCCGTCTTCAGAAGGAAACGAGAAAACTCATCGTTATCGACTGCAAGACAGGAGAGGAGGCGGGGAATAGGAGGGATAAAGCAGAAAAGAGTGCGATGGAAATAGCGGAGTAGACAGGTATCCGTGATGGGGAGACTGAAAGTAGGCGCTCGAAGGAGAACGAGAAAAGATCGAAGGATATGCTAATCATTGCTGGACTTCCATCTCCATTTTCGATCGAGTGGATCAGAGCGAGGAGTAGAAGCAGACGAAGCGTTTGGTAGCATTACCTCTCACGTATACGGGACGGAGATGTGGATGGGTCATATAGAGGGCAGAGTAGAAGCGACGGGGTGTATGTTATCACTATCCAACAGCAAGGCTTCAAGGGGACATGGCTGGGTATGTCTTAGGTACTATCTTCAATTTTAAACGCCACAAACCATCATCGCCACAGGTCTTAAACTTCGTCTCTCTTGACAGCAGTGGGGTAGGGGTCGACTAAGAGAACTAATCGGAACGCAAAGATTGAGTTCTATGCAGAAAGACACGGATTGAATATTGAATAATCGAAGAGAGAATGTACACGAGAGCTGGAACGCACCTCAACCCCAATACCAGCCAATCCACCCCAACCCGGTCCAAATTTCTGATCCACCGACCTGATGCCATCCCGAATGGCAGAGCAATCCAAGAGTATTTGAATGTTCATTTTGAGAGCGTCATTCGTGTCAAGCCTCGTTTCGTGGTGAGATCATGTTGCGGCAATCCTTGTCCTGCGGCTTTGGGTGTCTCAACACACCAGATTACGAGCTATAAAGGCGGTCTGTTAATCAACGCGGTGGTGAGGAGACAAGCAGCACAGAATACCTCAGAGCAGTGCCATGAAATCTATTCGAGAGACCTGCGTCACAATGAGAAGAAGAAAAGAATGCTCAAAGCACTCGAAGGACGGCGTCGTAATGGTAGTCAAAAGCCAACCTGTGCTCCAGCTTTGGATCCTCGTTTTGTGGAGAAATCGCTGGGTAATCGGTGTCCAATGATTTTTTTGCGTCTAGGCTGGCGCACCAATTCAGGTTATTGACGTCAAAAGCAAACCTATCAAGGAAATCTGTCAAGAATGAGAGTCGCGAAGATGGTAGGAATATACACAGAAGGAAAAAATCCTCGACCGGAGACCTGCGTCGTAAGTACTGAGAGGAAGACCGCGCCCCGGCTTCGGAGCCGAACACCGACATCTTGTGATCAGTCTTATCTCCGCAAGTCTCCGTCACCGACTCTTCTAATACTTCTATGCCGCATTCCAACATGAAGATCCCTTAGCTCAGCGGTAGAGCATCTGATTCCAGTATAACATGAATGAGTTGGGCCTATCGGATCCAGAAGGTCGTCCGTTCAATCCGGGCAGGGATCATCATTTTTCCCCTTTCCACACGTTTTCGTCAATTGAACTTGTCATATGCATGGGGGTAAGTTTCCTCTCTTCCAGTAGTGACATTGTACATTTTTGTCCTGTGGATCTATCGTCCGGGTAGTGCCTTGACAGAGCCTGTCAATCCTGATGCGCACGACAGAAGTCCTCGAAAAAATAGTGCACCAGCCTCATATTCCGTTGCAGGAAACTAAACGCTGAGCTACAGCCTACCACGTCTGGTCTTTCTTCGATGTCTAATGGGAGACGATGATATACACCGTAATGGATGTGTGAACAATGCGTCGTGGCAAGGTTATAGCCTGATGTCCATCCAGATACCCTGGCCCGCCACTTTGAAATGTCTCTCGAACTTTCGTTCATCTGAGCCTCTAAAACTTGTTGCGCGCTGAAGCCCGACCTACTCTGTCAAAATATGGTCCTATTGGCTCTAAAACTGAACCTACGGTCTACATTTTGTCATGTGGCCCCAGTCCCGGCTAGCGTACCGAACAGCGCAACGTGAGCCGAATGGATTCTACAAGTACCATATATGGTGTATCATTCATTCAAGATTGGTGATAAATTCATATGTAATTTTCCAAATGAAGGGGACGTATCTCACGGCTTTCAGATGAAGATCAACATCGCCGACCTTAGCTCAGTTGGAAGAGCACAAGACTGTAATTGCAAAGACCTGCGAATCCGCCTTCATCTTGGGGTCGCCTGTTCGAACCAGGCAGGTCGGAATGTCGCGTCTGGAAAACTCAATTTTTTTTTCTCCTCCCCTCGACGAAGACTTTGTTACCGGGCTAAATCAAAGTCGAACGTGTTGCATTTTTCGTCGAAGCCAGGCCAACTCCTTCCCTCGCTCCGCGCAAGGATTCATTTCGGCTCTTTCCGCTCATATACACCTTCTTTCTTTTCGATATCGTAGTGTACCCTCTTGTACACCCAATCGCCCCCAGAGAGAATGGGGAGCCTTCCTGCCTGAAGATGGTCGTCCGCCCTTACTCATATGGTCGAAGTCGGACGGAGAACGAACCTGTTTTGACTCGGGATTGCTAGAGAAGGAGAGTTTGGCGACAATACTCTTCCCGAGCTTGTCCTTTCCACGCCTCGGTCCTCGTGTTTTGTCCGGAACAGCGTCAAATAATCGATCAGTTGGATGCTCAATTTCTCAGAAAATATGGGGCCCCGTCTACTCTATCATTCATCTTGTCGCGTTCCTGATCTCTGAGGGCTTAGGATCCTGTGATCCCGTTTTGAAGTAAGTAATGTAGACATCATACGAGTACTCGCAAAAATAGAAGAGCCAGCCTCAACCCATCCATAAAAAAGGACAAATTGAGGGCAGTTTCTGCTTATAGCCCACCGCGAGGGTCGAACTCGCAGCCTTCAGATTTTCATTTCTTGTTGGTGGCACCAGATCCATAAAAGTCTGACGCTCTATCCGATTGAGCTAGGCGGGCAGCTAAATGATCACTAACCTTGGGTCGTATCAATCCCGCTCGAGAGACTTGAGATATAGTGAACATCCGAGCTCCGAGATAGACTGCGCCCTGTAAGGAGAGCAAGCAAAGACTCAGCCTAAAGAACCGGTAATATATTGACAAACTAGGTACCATCATTTTGACTTTTTAAGTAATAGTCCAGAAACCCATAAAATTTACCCGAGGAACATCCGAAGTTGTAGAATAAGGCCCAAAGGTCGGTCGAGTGTGAGATGCAACACATTCAAACGAGAGACACCATGTCCAGCCGGCTCTAGCTAAAGATCCCCTGGTCCGAGAGCGTCATAAATAGGGCAAAGGTCATCCCAGGCCGCTTGAATGGGCGCATCAGCATGAATGCATGGAATTGAAAACGGTTATGAACTCACTGGGAGGCGCAGGTAAAGCCTTCCATTCATCGGGCCTTTCAGCAAACACAGCCGAAAAGCCACTGATCGAAGCATTTGTCAGTAACTAAGTACCGGACTCCTCAAAGTATGGGCGATACTCACGCTTCCAAATGCCAGTCGATATGGCAATGCAGAATCCAAGGGCCAGGGTTATCCGTACGGAAACGAATCGTAACATTATCATTCGCGCCTCCAATGTTGATCACATCACGGCGGACCTGGAGGGAATAGTAGTGAGATACCGGGATTTTTTTTTCGACAAAGGAGCACCTACAGGGTTAGCATAGTTGTAGGTGCTGCTACCAGCAACACGAACAACGTCGAATGCGTGCTTGAATCGAGCATATTAGCCACGGGAATAAGAGAAAAGACAAAGGGAGGACGACGTACACCGTGCAAATGCATAGGATGTTCGATACCCAGCAAACCACCCGTAAAAGACAGCTCTACCACAGCATTCTTCGGAAGCGGGAACACCATACCCTCAGGTAACAAATTGTTGGGATTTTGAGCACCACTAAGGATCTGAAGTAAGACAGGGACAGGAGGAGGAACAAAGCTGCGTCCGTTAACCGTGAAGAGGCCATTGCTCTACACAAAACGAATTATATTCAGCGCAGCTCCGACGACGACACGACAGACTCACGAATCCGAGGTTAAGGTGCATCGCAACGTCAACTCCGCCAATTGTGGGTCCTCCAGGTGCCCCGGGATTGGAAAGAGGCTAAGCAGGTAGTTGGTTCAGTTAATGAGGGGGGTGCGAAATCCCAAATTAGACTTCGTGCACTCACTTTGAGGTTGGCTTCACTCAGCGGAGCTGCCGGCTTGTAAGTCGAGGCCGCAGGTTCCTCTTCTGGAGCTCCGACATATCGCAAAATAGCAGAGTTGATACCGTTGATGAACCCGGTCGTTCCTGCGTTTGGGTTTGCTCGAATCCCTAAAAGTCAGGGGGTATTACATGAGTATGGAGGATGAAAGACTGGTAGCTATATAACTCACAATAGTTCCCGACAGGTTGGTTGGCTTCTACCTGGAGAGTCAAAATCAGAGGTCTGCACAAATTTTCCGCTCAGAGAAATACTCACCACCAGTGAATACCTTTGGCCAGCATAAATCCTGACTGAATCTCCCGCTATAGCCTCATGACTGACTGAATCCACCTCAATTGCGTTACTAGATGCGTGACTTTCGTAAGAAAAACGACGCCAGACACTGAAGGATACCCACAATGTATGACCCTCGATATAGAAGTTGTAGTTGGGATTACAACCGATATTCACGACGCGGAAGCGGTATCTAATGGTTGGAGAAGTCAAATTGGTAACGGTTTCGATTATTTTCAATAATCGTACCGTTTCCCAGCCTCGACAGTGAGAACTGTCAACGGCGAAGTCGCGTTACCGTCGCTCCACCGACCGAGGCCATTTATGAGGGTAGATTGTGGAGTGCTGATAACGACAGAGAGCAATCATCACGGAGTGCTGACATTGTGAATGGGTTGAAAACCTACCCGAAGGTAATCTGTTTCGCTTTGGTGTGATACCAGTCCGCGAGCGTGATGACGGTAGACTCTGTCAACGCAAGCATATTCGTTGGTTGTGGATTAGGCAACAAGAAAAGACGAAACCGTACCATCATCAACGTCATAAAGACCGGCATGAGGATCTTGAGGGTCATAGACAACCATCGCCCCACGAAGGCCATCACAGTACTGAGTCGCTATAGAGTAGTGTCATTATTAGTACGTCGCGTAAAAAAGGGATTTATTGGCTCACAAAGATGAGAATGATACCAGAACGTTCCAGCCTGGTCTTGAGCCCGGAAGTCGTACAGAAAGCTTTTGCCCTTCGCTATTGGACATTGGGTCACGAAAGCAGGTCCGTCAGCCCAGGGAGTGTCATTTTGGAGAAATCCGTGCCAGTGCTACCGAGAGTAAAAGGCCACGAGTTTAAAATACGAAGAAAGGAACTTTTGTGGGTGATGCTCACGATACTCGTCGACTGCAACATCGTATTATCGTTCAGATTATTAACAACGTTGAGCTTGAAGTTGTCGTTCTGCGGGATTATAGGTCAGCAATCCCTTCCAAACCATGGACGAAAGAGAAGGAATCAGACCTTGTTTCCGACAATGAGTGGACCGATGGTACTACCACCAGCAACGACAGCACCACGAGTAAAGCCATCGGGGGAAACGTCCTTGTTGGTGATGACAAGGTCAGCCACAGGGCCGATCGCGGCAAAGCCGGGCGATGCGAGGAAGCAGGCGAGAGGGAAAAAGAACACCAAAAGGCGAGGCATTATGGATCGGGTGTGTGCTGGTGTGATCTTCTGGCGAGGTACAAGTAGGGTTTTATACTCAGATCGAAATTCGCCTCAGATACGGGGATTTGGGCTGCAGACAAATAGCCATGAATTTCCTCGGGACGCAAAGGTACACTCTGACGCGCACGCCGCACTTCCGATATCCAAAACGTAATCCGCGAGAAAATGACTTACTCGTTTACATTTAATGTCTACTCAGGACGGCCTATTGGCCAACAAATTGAGCGGGAAAGCGGATACGACGTACAAGGAGTATGGGCTAGCCTGAACACATAATCAACAATCAGTGGAGAGGTGCTTCAGATGACAATACATACTTACCACCGGGGCCCGGGAGCGGAGGCGTCGTAATCCCAGAGTTCGGTACTCCGTGTGTGTTTCAAAAGAGGGATTCTCCAAACGATTTTGAGAAGTACGAAGCATTGGATTCTGACTTAGTTGCGAGAGGTACCATCTCGACGTATACACCCAGTATCCAGTAGGTCGAAACGAATGATCACTCGAGCCTCCATGCCTCAATACCTTCCGAACGGGAGCAATTTTGAATCCGCGGACCTTTATCTGCGTGATGTCCGAACTTGAGACAGTAGCCGCATCCAACAAGCGAATAAGATCTGCTTCCGGGCTGTATTCATTCCCTCCCGCGCACTGAAATTCTGAAAGCAGCCAATTGACAAAGCGTTTCACAGCTGAACCTTCCGAGCACGACAGCACACGAGATCCAAGTTCCTTATCTTGAATCCGCATTACGAACGACGGCATCCATCCATGAAGAAAAGTTGGCTTGAATTTGCGGTCGATTTTCATTGGAAAGGCAATGCTGCAAGGGTTTATTGAAGGAAAGGGTCTAATCCTGGAAATTAGTCGAAGACTAGGAAGCCTGCTCAGTATTTTGCCCCAGCCCTCGCGTTTGAAGGAAAGCGTCGTCGTGGTTGCTTGCAATGAGTGGTCGGCTACGTAACACAGCCTACGGGGTCAAGCTACGCTAAACAACGGTCCCGGCAGCCGGCGGGTTGAGAGGAACCTCTCAGCTGAGCGTTCTAAGCTGGATTCGAGAGACTCTGGGAATACTACTATATCTGATAAGGAGGTATGATAGGCATCATCGAGCTACGTATTTAACCGAAGGAATGGACTGGAACCCCCGCCTCCATGGCACAAAAGCGCCCCTATCAACAAAACTGGCGGTTTAGGAATACATAAAAGATGTGATCTTCATCCCGAGTAATCACACCTCGCCTCTCATATCTCAGCATTGGATACTTCCTTGACCTGAGATTGGAACCCGTACTTTCCCCCTGACCGACGTACTGTGCAAATCTGAATTTACCGGCCGACTCTGCATTCGGGGATAATACAGATAGTGAAGAGGGGCCGGAAGGAACAATAAGACTTACGGTATTCAATCTACTTCGACAAGAGGGTGACGAGTTTTATTACTTATGTCGGTGCATCTGGCACAGGTGCCCGAATGAAGAACTCTTCTACTTTTGGAACTCAGGCGCCCGTATTTACCTGTGGATACCCCTGGGCCCTTGGAGTGAGAGCTACCCATAACGGGTTATCTCACTGACATTTGGTGGCTCCCGAGTACCGAAAGCCGGGTTTGTGCAGGTTATAGAGTCAGCGAGAGATAGGGTATCTATCCGAATGCTAAGCACGAATTTATCATAAGCTTTGTCACAACTCGCTACAGACTCTGGTCATTGAAGCAGCCCGATCGGATGCTTGGAAGACGTAGGTCTCCGATTGAAGGAATACAAGTGCTCAGAGCTATGTATCGACTCTATTTAGTTCTGGGTCGGAAGAAGGCACACGATCGTAATTTTTGGACGGCTGATAAATGACAGAATTCAGAATGCGTGCTGTGCCAGTCGGTCATAGTGCCCAATTGAAAGGCCTAACGTCCTCCTTTCCTTCACTCTTCCCTATATACCGGTTCCGAGATGCCCCTGCAAGTATCCACCAGTCTCTAGTTCGAAATAGGACTGAGTGTATCAAGGAGTCTATTAAACCACTTATCGGAAGCGAGAACCGTGCGGGGATCGGATTACGTATATAGCTGTGCGTTAGTCGTCCCTGAGACGTGGCTTCTGAACAGGGACGACCAGTTGAATCATAGGTCTGACCGTATCCCAGCGAGGAATCTCTGGCGAAACTGCCCACAAGTACTCCTTTCAACCCAAAGGAGCACGAGTGGTTCGAATATCCTTGGCCCAAACAAATCCGTCAAAACCGCCGGCCG